TTATATCATACATATAGTTCCGTGGCCTATAGCTATGCAAATGCAACCGTGACGCTCGACACTTAATTTGAACTGATTTTAACATATTGTGCTCTAGTATCTTGTCAGTATATTATGCACACACACGCCCTTCATTGGTACATATATTGTATACGAAATCAAAATTAACTTGCTTACAATGAAATCTATAGTTCTTCAATTTTCACAACTACCACCTACCTAGAGACAGAAGAAAAGCCTGGCACAAACTTCATAAATGTACACATGCTCATAATTAAAGCTAGAGTTTTTTTACCATTGTTTCATATAAAATCAGCAACCAAAAAGTTATATAGATAATTACATGACGTGAAGAAAAAGTCCCAACCTCTTTACCCAAAAATGTAACTATATTTTCTCACGCGATTCTTATTTCTTATCAAATGGTCTTATTGAAAGAAAATCTTATTATATAGTACTAATGACCAAAAAGATCGTTAATCTGATAGATAATTACCTGAAGAAGCTGTTTAGCGAGATCAATGGAGATAAGACCAGCACTACAACCCATACCACCAAGATTATAGCTCAAAACGTTTCCTCTAAGCTTATATTTATTCACGATCATAGCCGATAGAGAAGGCGTCGGATTAAACAAGCTACAATTCACCACAAGTATCCCAATATCCTTAGGCTTCACTCCAGTTTTCTCAAGCACTGCGTCTATGGCTCCAAACATAACCGTCTCCGCTTCTTTCCTCGCTTCGGACATACATGGATTCGGCGGGACACGCAAGAGAGCCTCGGGGAAGTAAGTCTTCTGCCCTAAACCGGAACGTTCGAGGATCTTTTGTTGGAAAGCGAGGTTGTCTTCTGTGAAGATCCCTACACGTTGAGACCGGTCCATGAATGTTTCTCGTGTGCATATTAGAGAAGGGTCGGGCTTGTAGCAAGCGAAGTCGAGGAGGAAGACTTTGCGAGGACGGGTTGTGAAGTAGAAGGTGGTTAGAAAGATAAGAAGAGCAGCGAAGAGAGTGGAGGAGAGGAGGTGGAATTGGAGGAGGTGGTTAAATAAGTTAGTGAGATCGGTGAGTTTGAAGGAGGAGGTTACAGCGAAGAGGACAGGGATGAGGAGGATGTAGAAGGCGTTTGAGATTAAGTAGTGGTAACCGAGTTTAACGTATTTGAGACGTACTGATAAGAGGAAGTTTGGGAGTTTTGGGTTTGTTACATCAACGGTGGTAACTGGTGAATTGTTATTGTTTGTGGTCTGCTCACTTTGAATGTGATTCTCGTTCATGGTATCTAGGTCTTTTGTTTTTTACGATCAACCAAAAAAAATGGAGAAGAGATTTAGTGTTTGATGTAGAGAAAAGAGATAACTCTAAAAAGATGGGAGTATTATTGAGAATTTATAGGCAAAGTTCTAGAAAGTAAACGAGGGAAATTAATAGATGTAGGTATGGTATGGTATGTAGTCCCTATTTTATTGTTGTGGAGGTGAACGAACTATCAACTATGGATTGACTCGGTTTTGACCGAACCCAATCAAACATGTTCTTATATATGAATATGGTTTTATTTCTATTTTGGATGATAATTTCGTATTTTTTTTTAATATTGAAGCTTATTGGGTAAACTACACACATTTTAAAAATAATCTGAAATTTCAGTATGAGATTCTCAAATTTCATAAGTATATATAGATTGTGTATGACGCTGTAGTACTTATATGTATTCCTAGATCTATCAGTTGCATCAATTAGTTTATGATTTACAAGAAATATTATATTACTTTTTGTGTCCTATGACAAACAAATTTTCAGCATGTGTGTTATATCATCCTCCAAATTTACAGGGAGAATTATTTTAGGGATCGTTTGTATGAGAAGGTACAACTAACTCCAACGAACGCTTAATGGTTCAACAATGGCGATTAAATGGAATTGAATTTGCCAGATGGGACAGTAGGGAATGAATGGGGGAGGAAGTAATTTACTGGTACACCCTTGAGCTGACTTGATTTATTTGGTCCTTTGCTACTGCTTCGTTTTAGGAACATGACTACATGAGGACGTTCTGGGTCCACTTTGTTATCGATGGCGTATGATTTAAATAATGTTTATTATTTTTGACCAAATTTTAAGTTATGGTTATGGATAAGTTATTTTAAAACATCATGTATGGTTAGTATTTTTAACGAATAGTATTTAGTTAAAAATACTGTATATTATAATTTATAAGTATACGTGAGGAAGAGAGTTGTTGAACTACGCAGGAGAAAATGTGTGGATTATTTCTAATGTAAGTACAAATATTGTGTTGGTGAAGTGGTGTTTTCTTACGTGAGTATCACACGTGTTACATTTTCCACCTCTTAGTACTGAGTTACAAATCAGGAGGGTGTTTTGGTTTTGTTAGCTCTTGGACCAAATGGATTTCGTATATAGTCGTGGAGTTGTTTGGTGAGAAAAAAAGTGATGCAACAGAGCTCTGAATTCAATGGTGTCGTCTCGTGGCTTGCATCTAAGAAAATATACATCTTTCAACGATTGATAGGTTGACACATGCATAATATAGATATGTGAATACGTGAATAAAACGATCAGACGAACAATAATTTTTCTGACTTTGGTTCGGGTTGACTAAAAGCCAAACATCTTGTGGACACTGCACTGTTGCACACTAATACCAAATGACTTGAGTATTTGTATTTTTGATAAAATAGAATCTGATATTACCACGTATATTTGCTGTGTCTAACTTTAATATTTTAAACAAAAGTTGTTGTTTCTTTCTAATTTATTTTTCTTTTGCTAGAAAAATCAATGCTATATGCTAATAACAAGGGGGAACACGAATACACACATGCAAAAATGAATTTATTAAACAGTATAAAACATATATTCACTGTAAAACAAAATAAATAACAAATTAAACCTGTGTATACAAATTAAAGTATATTGATATTTGTAATTATATGATATAGATACATGCTTGCATATAAATCAGTAAAATGTCAATAACATCACAAAGATGAAAAATATACAGTATATATTAAGGTGATAAACAAAGGCGTTACAGATAATTGTTGGTGGTAAATTAGAAACCGTGAAGTTTCCTTTCAATTTAATGAACATCGAAGCCAATCATTTTTATGCCATAAATCATCATAATCAGTACCATCACTACTACATGTGTACGTAGCTTGATTATCATCTTCATTATTTTTTTGATTAGTAAGCGATCACAACCTGATGATGAAACTTGCTACACAGTAACAACTGATAGAGCCATAGTACATCTTAAAATTAATGATGAGAAAGGAAAAAGAATGTAGTAATCATTACGATTCACTTGTTTCCGACCTTTGCTAGTTGCGACGATGACGGTTGGTAGTTAGGTTACTAAAGAATGGCGAAGCATTTAGCATTAATGTTATGGAGAGGATTGTAATTGTTCAAACATGGGAACCAAATAAATAAATCGATGTAGTTGTAGGGATGAGAGTCTGCAATTTCAAAAACTCGCGTCTGTGAAATGCGAAGAAGACGCGTTGACATTAATTTGAGACACGCTTCTTCGGATCAAGTGTTCTATTGGCCTTTGGGTTAAAATTTCTCACGTCGAACATACTAGAATATGTGAATGTGTAATATAGCATAAACTATAAGATATTGTTGAATGCGTGTCGAATGTTTGCGGAAAGATTGTGCGGCAAGTCACCCAGAAACTGGGCATTACTTATTTATAAATAGAAAGTACTATAAATGCTGAAGAACTTCCAACCAAACAGAGCTATTTGGGTAAGAAGATAATTCGTGGAAGAAATAACCATCTCTATTCCTTTGTTCTTTATTATTATTAATTACTACCATCTTTTTCACATCCCTAATTTAGGTTTCTCTTATCTTAAAACCCTGAACAAGTTATGTTTTTTTTTTTGACAACACAATTTACTTATGTTTCATGTGTTGTTTTTTTTTGGTGGGGAGGGGAGGATGTTCGTTCGATTCATTTGTTTCTTGTAAATCTATAGTTGAAGTTAATGTGAAATCATGTTGGTTTAGTACATACAAATAAAATGTTAAAAAAAAAAACAGGTACTCTAAGTTTTTCACTATTATTGCTTTATTATATCGTATATTCTATAGTTACATTGTAGCATCAATCATAGTGCATACTTTAATGAATAACGTAATCACTTCAACATTCAACTACTCTGCCACGAGCAACATTAACAAGTTAGGTGGCAACCCCACCCCCAAAATAAAAACACTTACAAGTTAGGCATCAGTACCGGTCCTGACCTGGAAAAGATCAGAAGCAATTTTCTAAAAATTGACTACTTTTATAAGAACGTTTATATACTATAACAATAATTTTCTTAAAAAAAGACTGAATTTTTCAAATATATTTTGAGGGCTGGAAGGTGTTGCTTGTAATGCTTCCCCTCAGAGTCAGTACTATAGGCATACATTTAAAATATACTATAGTTACTTGTTAGGGTCATTTATTGATGGTTCGAATTGACACTAATTTTGAAGGAACAAATGAACGACGCACTGATATTTATAATCTGTTTTGAGGAATATGTTTGTGATGTCCGATTATCATGCTTTATTACTACGGAAAATGCGATTCTAGAGTGTTTTGGAGAAGCTACAATATGCCACTGATTAGTAGTTAACATACGTACAATAAAAAGATATCTTCCCCCTCAAGTAAGAGATGCTCTAAAAAAGAAGTTGGATGATCTGAAGAAGCAGCAAGGCATCCACTACAGCCTTTTCTTGTACATAGCTGAATTTGATGTGGCCACCAACGCAAAGAGATATGTTTCTTTTGTTTTTGGCTAATGATATGAACCCTTAACCATGGACAAAATGTTAAATCTCCACTTTTATATTCCTCTACACAAGTTTTCTTTGTTTAGGTTGGTGCTTTGATCGAATTGTAGCACTTGATGTGACTAGTTCTATGCAGGCAATCAACATTCTGATATCAGATATTTGAGAACCAAAACAGAATATCGGTATTGCTTGAAAATCTATTCTGATCAATGAGAACACTAAAACAGATTGCTACAAACATTAGAGCACTCTTCAACCTTCATAACACTTTTTAAAAATGCAATACATAACCAAAGACTTAAGGACAACCGTTTGCCCTGTTTCTCAAACAATTAAACTAAAAGAAGTCAGGTTCCAGTTTCATGTGCTTAATACTATTAAGCATTTCTACGTTCTAATTTCACCGATTAGGTATCCTGAACGTAGATCTTTCCTAAGAACCCTAAACCCTAGCACAAACAGATTTTTCTTGACCAAAAGAAACTCTGCTCTCTTTAGCTTCTTGTGTCTCCAGCCTCTCTTAGGCTTCCTGAATCTTTGTCTCATACACAGCATCCTAAGCCTTTGGCTTCTGATCCTTTCATGATCCTCACTCTCTTGCAAGTGGATACAAACATCCTGCAAATTAACCAAACAAAACCCATAAGAATTTGTTTTTGTGAAATTCTTTTTTTATGATGAAGACTTACTCCCATGGAACATCTCCAATGAGCATCCAGTCACCATCTTTATCTTCATAAGTAGGCACAAACTCTGAACCTCTATATCCTTCTCTCTCAAAATACTCTCCCACAGAGAAACTGAACATTATCTCTAAAGCTTTGAGCAACTCTGAGTATCCTTTGTAACAACTCAAATCTATTTTCCTCAAGTATGGTGCACCATCCATACTTACTTTCACATAGTGTCCTCGACCACCCTCACTATCAGATTCATTCTTCTTTGTCTGAATAATGTTCTTCCTCAAAGATCTAACTGGTGGCCATCCAACAATCTGAGCCCTGCAAAAGGAAAAAAATGTTAGTAAACTAAAGTTTTTTTCATTACCAAATCATATTAGTAGAATTTATGTGTTTAAGCTTACTTTCTTGGAGGGGACATTTCGATTTTTAACGTTGATGATTCAGTCTCATTCTCAGAGTCACCTTGTATTGCTCTTTTATTACAAGAAACTCTTTGTCTTTCTTCAAATACATTGTCTGTTCCTGGTAATCCCAGCCTCAGCTCGGTTGCCTTTAGATTAACAAACTCATTCATTTTCAAACAGGAGAAGAGAGGAAAGCTGTTGCTTATTTCACTAGAGATAGACAGAGAATTTGATGGTGAAGATGAAGATGAGGCTTCGTGGAAGCTGAGTGTTTTATAGAAGTTAAGGAAAATAAAAATTGATTGATTTAAGAAACTGTTTTTTTTTTTTTTTTAATTAGGGACAAAGGAAAAACAGAGAAACATCCTAAGCTTGTCGGTAGCAGTAATAGCAACTTTGAGGCAAAGTGTGTCCCATCTTCTTGGGGGACATTTTGTGGGTCACACTTCCTCTTTCTCCCAACTGTATATTGGATTATATGCTTAACCATATAATCCAATACTGTACAAAGCCAAAAACAAAACTAATCTTTGTTTTTTTTTATGACGGTCCAGATTAAATCTTTAATCCCCACCACATGTGGTTTGCCATATGCATGTGTTCATCAACTCTCTCTTGATCTCTTTGTCTCTCCAAGCCAATGATATATCAGATTTTCTCATCTTCTTTACTTCAGTTCTGGTAATAGATCAACCTAGTTAACTCTACCTAAAAATATAGCTTTAGTGTTTCTTTTTTTCGTCGTGTGTAGTTCATATTTGTTGAGTTTGTTTCACTGACTTCAGCTTCAAGAAACAAATACTTTGGGTCTTGAAGAGCCGACGTGACACAACTTTTCTTTGTTCTTTACTGGATTTTGTTAAATACCACAAGTTTTTGTCTCTATGTCTCTGAACTTTCAACGATCATGACATGACAAGGTCACACACGTATATATGAATCTGAAACAATCACGACAAGACATCTTCCTTTAGGTTTTACTAGCTCAAGGCTTTAGTTAATTGTCAGCAACATCATAAATGGGGCCTTTGTAGTTTTTGTTTGGAACCTGAGAGATAGATCTTCAACAGATTCTATCTGTCTTTTTTCATTTCACAGCGTGTCATTGGCTGTATTCTACTTGTATAATAGAGCTCCTACTCTAAAGTGTCACGTCCTTGACAGAAGTTATTCGAATTGAATAGGATCTCTAGATTTTGGTTCGATTTGGTTATTCACGTAACCGAGGTTTTGCATGCATGGTTGGTCTTAACTAATCGGTCTTATCAAGAGAGTGGTTAAAAGAGTTTACTATCGTATATTATATTTTTTATAACTAAAGTTGGTTATGAAAAAATACTGTACCAGTCCTACCGAGTTAAAGACTTTTTTTAGGCATGAATATCCGGCATTATCAACCTTTTTCTGCACTCATTATATGCCATCAGGTAGCCTACTTCGCAATTTAATTAAATATACAAACATCATTCAATAATGAAGTAGTAAAATATAGCAATTAACATAGCAAAAAAGTATTAGTTGCTTAAGATGATACGTTCTTAGTTGTATTTGCCGACATGATAATCAAGATCATAACAAATTCTGTCACTACAGAAGATCACCAACCATCATCTTAACCGTCCACGTATTACGACCTATTTAAATGGGCCGGGCCGACGTAAATTGGACTTTTATTAGGCCTCGACGGCGTTGTGGACCACTCCAATCTTCCCACTATACTCTAACCACCTAAATTTTGTTTATTTTCTTTAGCACAAACAATAGCCAAACTTTATAAACTTTTATACGTGTATAATATTTGATTTTACTTAAAAGCTTCTCATTAATTTGAGGGATCTGTCAAGTGTCAACTAACAGCATTCAACACAATTAATCACTTTGGAAAATGCTTTAAGTTTATTGCCTATATTCTTTTGTTTCCAGAATTAGTAAAAGGAGGTTTATGCAGAACAATATACGAAACTTTATAATATTTTAGTTTTATGTGATGAGCATGTGTTTGTTATGATAAATCATAGATTTTTAAATATTTATGGCCAGAATATTTTAATTGAACTTGTTAATAATTGGAATTATTTGGACAAAGAGAATATCTTTACCGGTCAAAGGCGATCGAAAAAGTGATTCACCAAATCTCTTGTATGCTAATCTCATCCCACTATTTACCTAACTTGTGATTCAGCAAATCGGCATTGATCTTACCGTTAAAGTTTTCGGGATCATCCAAATATCAGATGTCATGGATTCCAACATATTTGATTACCGTTTTACGATGATTATAAAAGAATAATTATTACATCGGGAAATTTGTAGGATCTTAACTAATATATAAAAGCTAATCAAAAAAACAATGTATAAGTTAATTAATCTCTTTGAACAAATAATAGTATCTTCTCAAAACTCAAATAATACTATTCAGTGCATATACAAATTTGTGGACCATCGTTACTCGTAAGAATCGCCTAGCTAACGCAAAAGGATTTTTTTGCAGAATTATATTTAGTAGAAATGGAGTTTAATTATTCAATTAATTAATTACTTTTAAGAAGTAAAGTAAACGATATAATTAAATTTCAAGCATTTAGCCCCCACCACGAGGCTACATTGTTAAGAGTTATGCCAACATTTAGAATAGATATCATGAGCGTATAGTGGCAGATTCTCGCATATTTACCTTATAGTATAAAGTTAAAAAAACACTTTTAGATGAGTATTAGACTGAATGTACATAACCTAGTTTAGAAGAATTAGCTACGAAGTTTGAATTTAAGTGTTTTGTATCAATGTATGTACATAATTAAGCTTCCTTTAGTCCACTATTCGATATCCACATTTTGAATCAGAGTTTTGATATAATATACTAATATGCATGAAAATATGTATAGATCATACATGAGGTATGCAGTATATATGTTTCTAATAAATGACAAAAATAAGTAAATTCGATAACCAGTTCATTGATTATTTTAATACATATATAGGCTGTTGATAAATAATTGCTTGCGTGAATACTGTAGAGCTTGTGTTGACGTAAAGTAATTTGTTTGAGTCTCGCAGGAGTTGTGGCTTTCGCACAAAATCACATACAGTTTAGTCAATGCAAAATTATCTGGTTTTGTCATTTAAGTTGCATGCATGCATGTCATTTGGCTGCAGTCTTTAAATGTCAGAAGTATATTCCAACACTAATTTAAATAATAAAAATTAAGAAAAAAAAACTAATAAATGAAAGACGAAAAGATAAAATCACAATGATCTTTGTGTGGTAGAATTTTGAGAGTTGTGGCCTTTTTAGGTCCATATGAAAGAGCACCTGGTCCTCACACACATTCTTTTCTTGCAAGTTAATATGCAGCACATATATGCCTTTAATAATAAAGTCATTAATTTTGACGTGATGCATATAACTTCCAGACTTGGACCATATATATGTGTGTGCATAAATATACATAGATATTAATGCGCAGTGTATAAAATATATATGTGTATGAAATTGTAATCTCAATTTTGTAATAATTAAAAAAGACCTCATGCTTAGGTGTCACTCAATTAGATAGTCAATTACATTCAATTGAAAAATAAGTAGTCCACATTCGATTTTTATATGTCGCTAGATACATTCGTTGGTCAAATTATATGATATATATGACATTTATGATAGAAGCATTTATGATTGTTCCCTTAGATATAATTACTATTTTATTTTCTTTCCATAAATAAAACCTACGGAATTACCATAAATGACTCATATATATATATATATATGACACTTAATGATTCTAATAATAAATATTTGATAACAGTTTATATATCCTCCATCATTTTTTCTTTAATTTTATATTATTAAAATAAATTAAACAATCAAATTAGCTATAAAATTAAACTTTAGATTTTTTCGTATAGGTTATATTTTGAATTTAAAAAAAAACGAGAATAAATAACTAAACCATTAAAATTATTATGTTAAAAATTAATGATCAATAGTTTAACATTTTTATTATAAAAAGATATACATGATTTTAAAACCATATAAGTAAAAAGTATCATTCAATAATAAAACAAATATATATACAAATTAAACTATATACCATATAAGATTACATAAATTTTAATTTCAAAATCCTCAATAAATTTTCAAGAACATTTATAAATTATAAAATTATTAAATTTTTTTCACATTGAAAATTTTTGTTATCAATGATTTAAATATCTTAATTCTTTTTTTAATTTTATATTTTTTAAAAATATTAACAATCGATAATATGGTTATTTTTGGTATATACCATACAAACCGAATGGATGTGATTTTATAAAAACCATAGGATTTGAATATGGTTTGATTTATAACCGATTAAACTGAAACATGTAAATATGTATATATTTATAACGACGCATGAATATCTATTTGTTACATGAGTTGAACTATAATTATAATTTGTAAATAGCTAACAATTTATTACAACTTAGACTTCTTATTTTGATCTTTTGCTTTTTTAACAGTAACTAAATTGAAGTAAAAATTATAAATTTGATGGACAACAATTAGTTGAAATTCTTTACAACTTTTTTTTATCTTTAAGCAAACAGAGTTGTTTTGACCAAAAAAAAAAAAAACAGAGTTGTGTTCAATCGAAGACATATTGGTTTGATGAACACAAAATATGGAAGAATATAAAAACCTTTATTTCATGCTTCTGTTTTGTTTTTTATTTTTATTTTCAAAATTTAGTGTTTTGATATTAATTATAGATTTGATCATTTTATTAGATGATAGAAGCTTTTTTGTTTTTTTCTTTTATTTAAATATATAATATTTTTTAATAAATGACTCTGTAACAATATGACTCTAAATATGATCATATTATATATTTTTATAATATATAATATGATCTCAAACTAAATAATCATGTTTTTTGGTATAAAATTGAATAAACTGAAAACTGATGGTATATAAACCCAATCAAACTGAAGTACATATAGATTTAGAATAGTAGTTATATTTTAATAATCGAAATACCAAAAAATCGAGCCGAACTGAAACCCGATATCCGGATTGAACACATCTAATCCGAATGAAACCGAACTATTGTTTCATTTTTCAAAACATAATAAAAATAATAGCTTCATCCCGCGTAATGCGCGGATCTATCCTAGTGTAAGTTAATCGTGATTACACATCAAAACTGGTCTCAATCTTGAATAAACAATAAATACGGATGGCCTCCAAATATACATATATTCTTGTGATTGTTGGTAGAGATGTGCATGATTGCATGCATTCGTTCAATCTCATTAAAGCTTCGCATATAATCCATTTACTAGATTCTAGGGCTGTAGCGATAATAATCTTTAGGTAATTTCCTGAATTTTTGTTTTCGTAAAATAATTGATAGAAAGATAGTATATAATGTAAACTATCTTATTTTAATACAGTAATTAATTAGATGCGTGCGGAAGCTTTTTTGTAGTCATGTGTCGATGATAGATATTATTCACAGCTGGTTTACGACATGTGAATGCCATAGTGATCAACTGATCCGTATATATCGATCAGTAAAGTAGATATTACTAAACACGACAAACTGTTGTGATATATATATAAGCCAACACGACCCATATATTTAACAAAATTTGGGGTTTTGTTGATTTGAAAACTCATGTGAGTTTTTGGGATAAAAACAAAAGGAGAGAAAGCGGTTAAAGAGAGGGATGTAGACTAATCGAGGAACAAAAGTAGGGTTTAAGATGTTTTTGCCTCTGGAATTTAATTGGATGTAACTTGTCCCTTCATAATCTCCATGTTATCCTTCTTGTCAGTAATTTAAAATTTGTTTTTGAAATTTGAGGCGAAGTTTTGTACTCTTTCTGCTTTTGGATTTTCTACTCATGCCTCCTCTCGATTCCCTTAGGCTGTTTTTGTTTCGGGTTCGAACCCTTAACAAATTTAGAATCAATAGATGCTTTTTATTTTCTTAATTATTTTTCAAAATTTATTGAATATAATATAATAAATATTTTAGTTTTCACATATATTAAAAAATAAATTAATAAATATATAACTTTTTGTGATTAGTCATTTCTCATAATTTTAACTAATCAAAATTCAATAAACATAATTATTGTCATAGAATTTTATACTGAAAGAGATGGAATACATACGATATCAGAAAGACAATGCTGTGTTCAGAAATTCCATCTGACTTGTTAATTAAAATTACAAAATGCATAACATAATTTAAGTAGTTGTATTACAGTTATACGTTGCTGTATATTGTTACAGTTAAGAGCTTTTGTTACAGTTACACGTTGCTGTATATTGTATTGCCGACCATGAATAAAAAAAATCTTCCTCAAAGATTCAATAGGATTTATACAGATGTTTTAGGTATATAGATTATAATATTATATATTAACAGATTCAAGATGTAAGTTTCCTTTTCGGTTAAAATTAAACAGTAACTTCATCTTCTTCGTTTCTATGAATACTATATTCTTCAATACGAGATCGATATGCAAATCATTAACATCATATAACAGATCGCTATAAATCTGCCTCTCACAACAAACGATTTTTCATCCACACAAGAATTAGAGATGTATCATTGATCATAACATTTAGTATCAGATCTTATATAAACCAAATAACATGGCTCTCATATCAACCAATGAATGCCGCACAAACTATAGTGGGATAGATGTTTTAATAACCACCAGATTTTTTGCTACAAACTATAAAGTGGGATAGATTATTATGTGTATGCTTATTTTTCAGATTAAAAGAGTAATGAAGCGTTTATATATGTCTAGTTACACATTTCGTTCTATGTATATGTTTTTTTTAATAAATAAGTATAGAAGATGCACATTGTATACTTATTTTGTTGGTGGTATGAGAATAGTTATTTACAAGAGGGCTACGCTTTTATTGTGGGATTAATAATTGAATCATGTGGATGTGATATGCATAATTGGAAGGTTCTGGCTAAGAATCTTACGGCGAAAATTAAACTAAAACTATATGTAGTTGAAAAAATATTATATTTGGAAGTCAAAAAGCATAACATAGTTATATCAATATGTGTATCTCTAGTGATACACACTCATATGAGATGTCTGCGACTACCACCAAAATGGCTGGTACACTTCATGTTACTCTTTCTTAATATAAATAAATTATAGGGATGTTTACCAAAAGATTAAAAAAAAAACATTACAAGTTTACGACTGGTACTATATGGAAATAAATCTTTGATTTTGGAAGAAAAGAATGGGGGTTCTTCCGCACATATATAGACACGCACATTTCAATATATATATGCTGGTTTTCAGACAATATATATAAATATATGGCTGCATATTTGCAATTTTTTAGTTATTTCCATGTGATATAAAATGGTTTGTTTTAGTTTCATAATGTTACAGCAAAATATTGCACATGATTTTATAATGACGTTTAGTTTCAGAAATAAAAGAAACTGCGGGAAAATTATATTGATAAAATGTTAATTAATTAGAAGGTTTCAAATATGCCATGTTAGAGTATTATCAAACATGTAGTTTTATTATTATCTCCTATATTTAAAATCTCTCGGGCTTTAAAAATCTCATGATAATTACATGAAAACTTGATTAGATTATTAAAAGAATGTTCAGTTTTTAATATTGGAACTTTATCTTATTTTTAGAAAGTAAGCCTACAAGAATAATTAAGAATGTCCTAATCAAACGCAATGCAATCATTTACAACGAACAAAAGAAATTGCAGGAAATATTCAATAACAATTCAACAGTAATTAAGTAATACTAGTGATCAGTGTAAAGTCGAACAAGTTCATTTCATCAAAGGGTTGAGATTCATCCACGTGCCAAACCCCATTTAGCCAAAAAACCTCTTAAATACGATATACACATGCAGCTACTACCTATAGAGAGATATAATAGAAACTCTTCTCACTTTGTATTATTTGTGTGTGTTTTTTTTTTCAAACATTGTTCCACCCTTCTCATCACCCTCACAAGAAGAAGAAAAACACTGAGAAGAAAAGAGGTTAACAATGATGGGCAGTATCGAGCTGAATCTTAAGGAGACCGAGCTGTGTCTTGGTCTTCCCGGCGGATTGACCGGAACCAAGAGAGGATTCTCGGAGACGGTTGATCTGAAACTCAATTTGAACAACAAACCTGAAAGCAAGGAAGTTTCTAAGACTCATCATGACGTCGTGACTTCTGTTTCTATAGAAAAGAGTACATGTCCTAAAGATCACACCAAGCCTCCTGCCAAGTAAATTTACCATTCTCCCTTTTCTATTTATTTTCCGATCTCCACATAATTTTCATTTCTTCACCCGTCTTTAAAGGAAAACTATAAGCTTGATAATCATAAAACAATTAAATCACTCACTTTTTAAAAAGAAGCCCAAACCATCTAACTGATATGTCTATACGGTAAGAACTGGTGATAGCTAACTATAGTCTATATGATATAACATATATAATTAGAAATCTTGTATCACTTAACGGTTTCCCATTTTTCTGTATATATATTTTTATAGGGCACAAGTTGTGGGATGGCCACCGGTGAGATCATACCGAAAGAACGTGATGGTTTCGAGCCAAAAGTCAAGCGGTTCCACGGAGATGGCGGTGTTTGTAAAGGTTTCGATGGACGGAGCACCGTACCTGAGAAAAGTAGACTTAAAGATGTATAAGAGCTACAACGAACTCTCTAATGCTTTGTCCAACATGTTCAGCTCTTTTACCATTGGTATATATATTTCTTACTAGGTATACGATTCCATGCATCGTATAAATCAAGGTATTTGAAAATAATAATATTGTTGCTAAAAAAAAATTGAAGGAAAAAATGGAGGAGAAGAAGGAATGATAGACTTCATGAATGAACGGAAACTTAGGGATGTCGTGAACAGTTGGGACTATGTTCCCTCTTATGAAGACAAAGACGGTGATTGGATGCTCGTCGGCGACGTCCCTTGGCCGTATGTCTCCTCCTTCTTATTTGCTATTAATTTTTTGATCTTATTTACTGTATTGATTAGTTTAATAACTCCTCGTTTAAATTTACTTAATTATTAGAATGTTCGTTGATACATGCAAGCGTTTACGTCTCATGAAAGGATCTGAAGCCATTGGTCTCGGTATGTATTTGCTACCAATGATTTTTTTTTTTTATATATTACCGCTTAGTATATCGTCAAAACAGTTTAATATATATCTTATAGATGTTTTTGGATAAATGCAAAAGCCATACCCACTTACTAACGTAGATAACATAAATACATAACCGATGTGGAAATTTTAGTTGCTTAATAACTGTAAAACATTTCAGCTCCGAGAGCAATGGAGAAATGCAAGAGCAGAACTTGAAGTTAAAAATGTAAGTGGTCAGGATCATATATATTTAATTAACACATTTATGAGTGTTAATTATGCTTTTTACGCTGAAAATTATTGTTCAATATCTGCATTTTCTTTCAGTTGTCTGTTTTGATCTGAATTATATGTGGTGTGTAGATAATGAACTTAAGTTAAATTTGTGAGACGTTTGTAATGAAAAATATGTAATAATTTGAACATATTTTTTGTGTTCATCTTTCTTTTTTGCTAAGAATGTGTAAATATGACTAGAAAATGCCCTATAAATAATGAATGCAAAACATAGTTTTGTGTTTTAATTGACCGAGTTGAATGTTCGGTTCGCATATCTTGAAACTGAGGATTATATAACGAGAATTTGACCATAAAATACAGTTTCTCTTTCTTTTTTTTTGGTCAAACCATAAAATACAGTTTCTCAAAACTTAGTTTTCAACCGAATTAATTAGATGACAGCACACATGTACATGTTCTAGCATATCGAATAAAATTATGAATTAGCGGAAAGGATTCACTTTGGTTGGTATATTGATGTGTTGGTACATAAAGTGATAACTGGCTTTGGCTGGAGGAAATAAAATAAACAAATAAATAAATTAGACCCATAGGGAAGAGGGGGAGCAATGCCATGTGCATTTTGATGGGTCTCTTGATGAAATCACCTTTGATTATATTTTCATTTCTGATTATACTAATTAGATACTGTTTATTAACTTTTGTACCAACCAAATTTAATAGGATTAAAAGTCATAATTATAGACAAACTTATGTACATGTACCTAAGAAACAAATTAAATGTTACAGACAGTGATACATATATGGTCTAAGGTAGGTCTTTGATTTCACAAACTTATAGATCAAAATGCAAGTATGTTAAACATATGTTTATCCAGCATTATAGATAGTATAATAGTTCATGACCTTTTTTTATGGTGGTTAGTTAGTGACCTTTTTTATGGTTGTTACTATTATAATGGACCGATCATATGTCTCTTAACACTTTGATAGTTAGCTTTAATTATTACATTGATGTTCAATGTTAAAAAAAAATATCAGGCATGTGTAATATTCACATATAAAGAATTCTGAGAATGCAAATTGATAACTGGGAAGCACATGGAGATCCCAAATGAACAAATCAAAGTTTCATAAATATATCGCTTCAACGTTACATGCATGCATATTTATAGAAAAATGTCTAAATATGTATGTGTAAACACAAACATTTGTACAATCAGTTACGTTGAAATGTTTCAACTATTAGTAGTTTAATATTTATATCAACAACTCGGATCAGGCAGAAGCATGTTCGATGTTTGATGGGGTCAATAACTAGTTTGACAAGTTGACGCTCTAGAGGGTTCTTCAGGAAGCTAAAATTATTGTTATTATTCTTAAATGGCAAACATATACATTTTCTACGTAATATCGAGGATAAATATGAAGTTTGAATGGAGCTAGGGTCTCGTATCACACACAGACTACACAGTTACACCATTATTATCAATAAAAAACCATAATATATCTTATGTATTTTAATTAAAGACAAAAATAAAATTAACATGTATTTATGAGTTATTATAAATGTTAACTTTTTAGGAAAATTAATTAGCAAGCAAAAGGAATATTAAAAGAATAATGTTTTTGGCTTTATATACTCATTTTCATCATGTGAGCGATGGATATGCGTCTATGGTGATGATACTGATGGTACAAGCACTACAATCTGATCTTTTGGAGTCCATCAGTTAGTAATAAATTGTAATTCGAGTTTATGCCTAGGTTGATTGTACTAGAAAATGTCTTTGTATCTTCTGTTATATATAGGTGTTGTCAAGAGGCAGCTTGTTAGTCTTAGGATGAGTTTGCCTTCGTTGGGGTAGAATTACAACTGGGTTATATACATCGGGTAGTGTAGGGTCCAAATGTGTGACTCTAGGTGATACTAGATTTCTCAGTTTATAAACTCACTGTGGTTGAATCATTTATGTGTGGAACCATGTAAACTCAGTTGATGGTGAATGAAAAGTTGATTAGAGCATCATTAGCGCAGATGCTTAGGAAGGTGCTTAGGTGATTTTTGGATTAGAAAAAAAAGAAAAAAATGTATTACTTTTTAAGCCACGATGCTTAATTAAGCATAAGAAGGATCAGTGCTTGGTGCACACGTGTCATGAAATGCATCTCTCTCGAAGAAATCACGCGGCCTCCTCGACGCCTCCTGTCTTCTTCCACAAATCATACCAAAAACAGAGATCGTAGAATCTATCTCTTTATAGATCGGATTCGATGCCGAGATTAGTTAATTGTAAATAACACTAAAGAGATTAAATATTACAAATAGCATTTATCAGAAAATTCAGTATTTTCGTAGGGGTTAGACCATATATTTTAAGAAAAATAAGAAAATATGATTTTTTTTTATTGCATAGCTACATCATTAACTGATATAGTATGAATATTAAAGAGGTTTAAGACCTTAGATGTTTCCATTTCTTTAGAAAATGTAGATTTATAGGGGTTATTCCACTTATTAGGTGTTATATGAAGTTTAAGTAAATTACTTAATAAAAAATTAGAAATAATGCCCATCAACCATGAAAATAAGTTTAACATACATATAAATAAGTTTATGGTGCGATTAGTTAATTGTAAATAACACTAAAGAGATTAAATATTACAAATAACATTTATCAGAAAATTCAGTATTTTCGTAGCGGTTAGCCCACATATTTCAAGAAAAATAAGAAAATATGAAAATTTTGTTTTATTGCATAGATACATCATGCACTGACATAGTATGAATATTAAAGAGGTTTGAGACCTTAGATGTTTCCATTTCTTTAGAAAATAGAGATTTTATAGGGGATATTCCATTTATAAGGTGTTATATGAAGTTTAAGTAAATTACTTAATAAAAATTAGAAATGATGCCCATCTACCATGAAAATAAGTTTACCATACATATAAAAAAGTTTTTTTGGGTGATTAGTTATTTGTAAATAACACTAAAGAGATTAAGTATTACAGATAGCATTTATCAGAAAATTTACTATTTTCGTAGGGGTTACCCCACATATTTCAAGAAAAATAAGAAAATAAGAAAATTTTAAATAACACTAAAGAGATTAAATATTACAAATAGCATTTATCAGAAAATTCAGTATTTTCGTAGGGGTTAGCCCACATATTTCAAGAAAAATACGAAAAAATGAAAATTTTGTTTTATTGCATACCTACACCATGCACTGACATAGTATGAATATTAAAGAGGTTTAAGACCTTAGATGTTTTCATTTCTCTAGAAAATAGAGATTTTATAAGGTATAGTCTACTTAATAGAAGGTATATGAAGTTTAAATATATTACTTAATAAAAAATTAGAAATGATGTCCATCTACCATAAAAATAAGTTTACCATACATATAAATAAGTTTATGGTGCGATTAGTTAATTGTAAATAACACTAAAGAGATTAAATATTACAAATAGCATATATCAGAAAATTCAGTATTTTCGTAGGGGTTAGCCCACATATTTCAAGAAAAATAAGAAAATATGAAAATTTTGTTTTATTGCATAGCTACATCATGCACTGACATAATATGAATATTAAAGAGGTTTAAGACCTTATATGTTTTCATTTCTCTAGAAAATAGAGTTTTTATAAGGGCTAGTCTACATAATAGATGGTATATGAAGTTTAAATAAATTACTTAATAAAAATTATAAATGATGCCTATCGACCATGAAATAAGTTAACTATACATATAAATACATTTTGGTGTGATTGGTTAATTGTAAATAAAACTAAAGAGATTAAATTTTACAAATAACATTTATCAGAAAATTCAGTCTTTTCGTAGGGGTTAGCCCACATATTTCAAGAAAAATAAGAAAATATGAAAATTTTGTTTTATTGCATAGCTACATCATGCACTGACATAGTATGATATTAAAGAGGTTTAAGACCTTAGATGTTTCCATTTCTTTAGAAAATAGAGATTTTATAGGGACTATTCCCCTTATTAGGTGTTATATGAAGTTTAAGTAAATTACTTAATAAAAAATTAGAAATGATGCCCATCTACCATGAAAATACGTTTACCATACATATAAGTAAGTTTATGTTGTGATTAGTTATTTGTAAATAACACTAAAGAGATTAAATATTATAGATAGTATTTATCAGAAAATTCAGTATTTTCGTTGGGGTTAGTCCACATATTTTGAAGAAAAATAAGAAAATATGAAAATTTTGTTTTATTGCGTAGCTACATCATGCACTGACATAGTATGAATATTAAAGAGGCTTAAGACCATAGATGTTTTCATTTCTCTAGAAAATAGAGTTTTTATAGGAGTTAGTCTAGTTAATAGATGGTATATGAAGTTTAAATAAATTACTTAATAAAAAATTAGAAATGATGTCCATCTACCATGAAAATAAGTTTACCATACATATAAAAAAGTTTTTTTGTGTGATTAGTTATTTGTAAATAACACTAAAGAGATTAAATATTATAGATATCATAAATCAGAAAATTCAGTATTTTCGTAGGGGTTAGCCCACATATTTCAAGAAAAATAAGAAAATATGAAAATTTTGTTTTATTGCATAGCTACATCATGCACTGACATATTATGAATATTAAAGAGGTTTAAGACCTTATATGTTTTCATTTCTCTTGAAAATAGAGTTTTTATAAGGGCTAGTCTACATAATAGATGGTATATGAAGTTTAAATAAATTACTTAATAAAAATTATAAATGATGCCTATCGACCATGAAATAAGTTAACTATACATATAAATACATTTTGGTATGATTGGTGAATTGTAAATAAAACTAAAGAGATTAAATTTTACAAATAGCATTTATCAGAAAATTCAGTCTTTTCGTACGGGTTAGCCTACATATTTCAAGAAAAATAAGAAAATATGAAAATTTTGTTTTATTGCATAGCTACATCATGCACTGACATAGTATGATATTAAAGAGGTTTAAGACCTTAGATGTTTCCATTTCTTTAGAAATAGAGATTTTATAGGGGTTATTCCCCTTATTAGGTGTTATATGAAGTTTAAGTAAATTACTTAATAAAAAATTAGAAATGATGCCCATCTACCATGAAAATACGTTTACCATACATATAAGTAAGTTTATATTGTGATTAGTTATTTGTAAATAACACTAAAGAGATTAAATATTATAGATAGTATTTATCAGAAAATTCAGTATTTTCGTTAGGGTTATTCCACATAT